ATTTGCATATTTAAATTTGCATATTCAAGCTCTGCGCATGCTCACAAATCATGGAGGCTGGCTATAACAAAAATAAGACCTCCCCGGATAATAAGGCCAACCGGGCTTTTGAACACATGCTCTAAAATAAGCCCTCCCCAAAAATAAGCCCTCCCTGAAAATATAGCAACACAGCAGCAGCCATGAGGTAACTACATTCGCCGCTTCTTGCACCTCAAACATAATAAGACCTCTCCGAAAATAAGGCCAGGTGCTTATTTCGGGGGTCAAAAGAAAACAAGACCCTGTCTTATTTTCGGGGAAACACGGTAAATCTAGCTTATACTAACACACTTTATTCTTCTTCTCTACACATTTCTATCCTTTCCAGCATATCTCTAATAATTTATTATACTGTTATCTATTAATATATTAAAAAAAACCAGGGGTAGGCTTCCAAAATTTTAGCAAGGGTTCTCTGCCCGGTTGTCGGGTAAGTGTGGCCATGGTGGGCATGGCCTAGTAGGCCTCCTGCGCCATGGTGGGTGGAGGTGTTTTTCCATCCCTGGGCTCTGGAGGTTTTCTTCGAGCCTCCGGGAGGGTGAAAATGGCCTTCTCAGGCTCTGTAGGCCCTTGGGAGGCTAGAAACAGGCCTGCTTCTAGCCTTCCCAAACTTCCAGTAGGCCCATTTTTTGCCCTCTTTGAGTCTTTGCACGCGCCCTGCACTTACCTGCATCCAAAACAGGCCGTGTGAGGACTCCCGAGAAGCGTGGGCAGGACCAGCCAGGAATGAGATTTGCGGGTTCTCCGAACTGCACAGAATCTTCAACCCCTGAGAATCCCCAGCAGCCCACCCCTGTAAACGACCAAGAAGACCTCAAACATACGACCTTGTCCTACTTGCTGTTAACTGTGTGTTTATTTTCACACTTGCCTTCCTTCTAACATGGACCTCAGTAGCTTACTACAGATGACTATAGCTCATCAAAGTTTCGAATAACATTGGTTAATTTGCAAAAGGGCCACCAGATTCCTTCGAATACTTTTTGAATAAAAAACTTTCCTCATATATCCTATTCTTATCCCCCCTCAGAAGCCGGCCTTCAACTCCATATTCATGTAAAACCTCCCATAATTGAAACCTACAGAACACCTCATGCATTTCCTTTAAATCAAAGGTCCAAGGAACGTTGTCACATTCACATATTTCCCAATGACTGGTTGAATGCAAAACATTTGTCTTGTACAGTCCCTGCTTATCATAAATCTACATCGCACTTCATAACTTCTTTCTCGTTGTCATTCTCTCGCACCTCTTTCGACTGTAATTCTTCCACACATCTTTTCAAGCATTAGCTGGAGCAACCTGTCCATCTGTCTCAAGCTTTTATTCATAATTCATACAATCTCATGGAGTGCAGGCCTAATCTGTTTTGAGTGCCTTTTAACTCTGTTAATTCTAAGAAGTGGTGGGATTCAAATAATTTAACAACCGGTTCTCTGCCCTAATGACTAATTGGGTAGGCATGGCTCAGTGGTCATGTGACTGGGTGGGTGCGGCCAACTCAACGTCACTCACCTCAATGGGCGCTTCGCATCAACTGTTACAATGTAGTAAGGCTTAACCGGAGGGGTTCCACCACAAATCCGCACTCGACTAAACCGCGTCCGACTAAACCGCGTCNGTACGCGCTTTCGTCGAGCGGGCTTTAGTCTACCGCGGTTTTGTGGTGGAACCATTTTTGAGATCGTATTTAACATAAACTCAGCCGAGACTTCCCGGTCAGTGGGAAAGAAATAACCTGGCATTGTGTTGGATTTCCCTAGACTGCCTGTGGCATGGAGTTGGAGAGCAGCGATCAAGCTGTGGTTATGAGAGATGACAACAAGCGACGCCGGAGGAGGAGGATGAAGCCATACTGTACTGCCAACACTCTGTCGTCGACGGAACTCATCTCCATTGAGTTTGTTTTCCCCACGACCAGCATCGTACTCGACATCCCTACCAACTGCACGGTGGAGCAGATGAAAGGCCAGGTCTGGATGCGGGCAGTGGAAGGCCACCAGACCTCCGACCTGTTCCGCAAGATCACGCCGGATCAATTTCTCCTCCTGTATCAGAAGAAGGGCCAGTGGTACGAAATCTACGACAAGCACCAGATCATGCAGACCCTGGATTGTATCTTATATTGGAAAGTCTTGCAGAAGAAAGTGGGCAAGATCCATGTGGTTGAGAAGCCCAACCTTTCCGAGGAAGTGCAAGAGTTCCAAAACCAGCTCAATTATCTGATCGGCTATGACGTCACCGACGTGAGCAACGTGCACGACGACGAACTCGAGTTTGCCCGCCGTAGGCTGCTCACCCCGCGGACAATTGAAGTCTCCTGTCGGGATCCAAAATTGTACTCCATGCCCGTTTGGACTACATCTAAACCCCTCCCGGAGTATTTGCTGAGCAAAATTGTCCACAATAATATTTTTCTCAACATCCACAGAGGAACCACCAGCCAGAAGATCAAAGTGGCGGTGGACGATACGCCAGACGTCATCCTCCAGAGCTTCTTCACGAAAATGGCGAAGAAGAAGTCTTTGATGAACATCCCCGAAGACCACAGCGAGCAGGATTTTGTCCTGCGAGTGAGTGGCAGAGATGAGTACATTGTCGGCGAGACACCCATCAAGAACTTCCACTGGATAAGACAGTGTCTGAAAAAGGGGGATGAAATCCATCTGGTCCTAGATGAACCACCGGACCCGAACCAGGATGAAGTTCAGAAAGAAGAATGGCCATTGGTGGACGATTGCACCGGAGTTTCGGGATATCACGAGCAGCTCACCATCCATGGGAAAGACCATGAAAGGGTGTTCACCATATCGTTGTGGGATTGCAACCGTAAGTTCAGGATCAAGATCATCGGCATGGATATCCCCGTATTACCGAGAAACACGGACCTTACGGTTTTCGTGGAGGCTAACATTCAGCACAGCCAACAGCTCCTTTCCCAGCGGAGAACAACCGCTAAGCCGTTCACCGAAGAGGTTCTGTGGAACGTTTGGCTTGAGTTTGACATCAAGATCAAGGACCTTCCAAAAGGAGCGTTGCTCACCCTGCAGATACATTGCGGCAAAACTCCCGCACCGTCCGCCAAGGGTAACCTCCACCCGCACGACTCGCCCTCGTCCGACCCTAAATACAAAACTCAGCTTCTCTACTACGTCAACCTTTTGCTGATAGACCACCGCTCCCTGCTCAGAACGGGGGACTACGTCCTTCACATGTGGAAAATCCCGGGCAAGGGGGAAGAGCAAGGAAGCATCAACGCGGATAAGCTAACCTCGGCCACCAATCCGGATAAAGAGAATTCAATGGCTATTTCGATCGTGTTGGACAAGTACTGTCACCCCATCGCCCTCCCGAAGCACAAGATACCGTCGGATCCTCAGGGGGACAGGGCCAGAGTTGAAATGCCAAACCAGCTGCGGAAACAGCTGGAGGAGATCATAGCTACCGATCTGCTCAACCCACTCACCCCCGAAGACAAGGAATTACTGTGGCACTTCAGGTACGAAAGCATCAAGCACCCCAAAGCGTACCCCAAGTTGCTTAGCTCGGTGAAATGGGGACAGCAGGAACTAGTCGCCGAGACTTACCAACTGCTCGCGAAAAGAGAGGCCTGGGACCTGAGCACTCTGGATGTCGGCTTGCCCATCCAGCTTCTGGATTGCAACTTTTCGGATGAAACCGTGAGAACGATGGCGGTGCAGAAGTTGGAAGGCTTAGAAGATGACGATGTTCTCCACTACCTCTTGCAGCTGGTGCAGGTAAGATAGAGGGACGTTTCTGGTGTCTTTAGCGGACCCACTCTTGGTTAGTGTTCTGACCTACCGTATTTTTCGGAGTATAAGACACACATTTTTCCCTCAAAAAAAGAGGCTGAAAATCTGGGTGCGTCTTCTACACTGAATACAGTATTTTTGGCCTCCCGAAACCCCGCACCGCTTCACCAAAATGGCTGTGCAGAGCCTTTAGAAGGTTTTCAGACAACTCCTGGAGGCTGGGGAGGGCAGAAATCCCCCCCCAGCCCCCAGGACCACTCTATAAGCCTCCTAAAGGCTATCCATGCCCTTATTTTTGCTCGTTTTTGCCCCCCCGGAGCACTCTACAAGCCTCCTAAAGGCTATTCATGCATGTCTGTGCAATGGTGCTGAGCTGGGGAGACAGCTGGCGTGCCCCAAAACAGGGGTCCATGTGCCACCTGTGGTTGGCCATCATGTTTTTCAGGTGTTGGGTATGGCACGTGTGGGAAATCAGTTTTGATTCCTTGTTACATCTCCCAATTGGCGTTGACAAATAGCAACGGCTATTCTATTGCGTGTCCTTCACAGACGCTCGAGATATGCGGCTTAAGCCTCCCCGAGACAGCGATTTTAAGAGGAAAAAAAAAATATATATAACCCGAAATTGCCTAAAATTCACACAAACTTTGCCGTTTGCATCTCCTGGGCTTTTAACAGCTACAGGGCGCCTCGAGGCTGAAGCGATGAAGTTTACACTTTTCTTCCGATGTTTTGCTGGCCCGCATTCAATTTCTTCGTTTGCACAAAGCTTTAACAAAAAACAACAACAAAAAAANAAGGCTCAGATCTGACTGCAAAAAGGTCTTGCCAAAATAAATGCTGCTAATAAATGACTAGTTTTCTTTTGAAACTTGGCTTGGGACTCATGAATCAATTGAGGGCATTTTTTTGGAAACCTGACCCAAAGTCAATGGGGAAACCGGGTTCACTTAACAACCGAGTTACTAATTTAACAAAGGCGGTGATTCGCTTAACAAACGTGGCAAAAGAGGTCGTGAAACGGGGCAAAATTCACTTCACAAATTTCTCTCTTAACAGCATCCATTTCGGGCTCAATGGGGGTCGTAAGTTGAGGACTCCCTGTAATTATAACGCAGAATTAACTGCCTACTGTTTTCATCCAGGTTGAATGAATGAGTTTTCTATTTTTTTCTTTCCTTCTTGAGCAACTTTTGAGGCATGGTTCCGCCAGTATTTTTTCAGCCACTTGTTCCTCTTTTCTTTTTTTAATGATTGCAACTACAGCCAGTATGTCTGACAGTTCTAACAGGAAAAGCATTTAAAAAAAAAACAACAACCCAATTTTAAAGCTAACGATCTTGTTTATAGCCGAGTGGGTTAAAGCTTCCTTCCTGGTTACCCTAAGACTTCCGTTGCCTTCACGGATAAAAGGAAGCCAGAAAAACAGAACATCTCGCCCGAAGGAGCCACTTTCCATGTTGTGAGTTGTTGCCATTTTAAAACCGAGCAGAATTCAAAACTATACAAATGAGGTTTCTGCAGAAATTCAGTTCCTGCTTCCCAATCAGGTAAAATCTTTCATTCACTAGTTCATCGTTTGCTTTCATGGATCGTGGGAAAATTAACAATTCTACTCAATGATTTGCTGAAATCCTAAAATGGTTTGCTTCTACGCATCTTTTAAGGGATGTGGCAGCTCAGGGGCTAAGACACTGAGCTTGTCGATCAGAAAGGTTGGCGTTTCGGCATTTCGAATCCCTAGCGCCGCGTAACGGAGTGAGCTCCCGTTACTTGTCCCACCTTCTGCCAACCCAACAGTTCTAAAGCTCGTAAAAATGCAAGTAGAAAAATAGGAACCACCTTTGGTGGGAAGGTAACAGCGTTCCGTGCTCCTTTGGCGTTGAATCCTGCTGGCCGCATGACCGCGGAGATGTCTTCGGACAGCGCTGGCTCTTCGGCTTTGAAACGGAGATGAGCCCCCCCCCCCCTTAGAGTCGGGAACAATTAGAACATATGTGCGAGGGGAACCTTTGCCTTTTTACTCATCTTTTGTTCTGAAACTTTTCCGGAGATAAAATATGGGGGAAGAATTTGTTAGAAAAAAGCATCATCACATCAAAAATTTTGTTGGGAAAAAAATAATGCGTGATGAGCAGTGTTGTCCTTATTAATGAAGGAGGAACAGATCAAAATGACTTGTATCCGTTTAGCCTTCATTTCACCTAGGTATAGTGGGAAAAATGGAAATTATAAGACAGTTTTTAAACATTTTTTGTCATTGATCAGGGGGTGATCTAAAATGCACTGTATGTTGGTTGAAGCACATTGAGTTTTGATTTAATCTAGGAAGACAGTTGTTAATTATTTTAATTATATAACTTAAAGAGGACACAGAATGTTATTTGTTATGGAATAGATTTTGTGAGTGGTTAGAGACAAGAGGTAGAAATTAGACGAAGAAAGATCACTGCTATGTACAAATTAAATATAAAGATGATTCATAATTATAAATACGGCAATATAATGAACAGAAGTATAAGTAAGCCAATATAAAGAGAAATTTAGCTAAAACTAGCTTGTTATATTATTTCTGTTGTAACCAGTATATGTATGTATGTACTGGTATATGTATATGTATGTATGTATGTATGTGTATGTATGTGTGTGTGTGTGTGTGTATATATATATATATATATATATATATATTGTATATGTATGTATGTATGTATGTGTATGTATGTGTGTGTGTGTGTGTATATANAGGACCCGGATTGTTGTTGGGGGCAATATGCTGACTCTGTAAACCGCTTAGAGAGGGCTGAAAGCCCTATGAAGCGGTATATAAGTCTAATTGCTGACTCTGTAAACCGCTTAGAGAGGGCTGAAAGCCCTATGAAGCGGTATATAAGTCTAACTGCTATTGCTATTGCTATTTTACAAATAACTGAAGGCTGCGGCCTTACCCGTTGTAATAATAAATTAAATACGTCTCCACTTCCTTCCAGATATTGAAGAAAGCCCTTCTAGGAACCCTGAAGTGGCTTCTGCGTGCCCTGCAACCTTCCGTCCCCCTGGCCGATCTCCAGCAACACCGAAAGTTTCTCAGAGGTGTAAATAGCACGACTAGAACGAGACACACACGAGCTTGGGCTAACTTCTCGGAGAAAGGAATCCGCTACTCTGGCCTTCCTCAAATCTTGCAGATGTTTGGGGATGGTGCTGGCCAGCACATCTGGGCGGTGTTAGGACAGGGAAGGCAGGTCTCTGCAGATGATCCATGCTGCCTGCCCAATATTGTGTTGGTGTTTTTTTTTCCCCCCGTTCTCCTCCTCCTTGCAGTTCCGATACTTAATTTTTCGAGCCGGAAGGCTTAAGATTTCAAGCCAGTATTATTTCCTCCATTCGACCTGAATTGAGTAGGGGGTGGGTGGTTAGAAAGGGACGGCCAAGTTCTCCAGCCTACAATTTTCTCTCCTTTTCTTTGAAGATGCTCTGCAGGTGTTACGGAAACATCTGTGCAGCCCCAGCTGGGAAGTACGCGATTCCTCCTTGGAGTTTCTCAGCCTGGCGATGAAGCATTTGAGAGGTAGGAGAGCACCAAGATGCAGAGGAAGAGAGTTGGGAGGGACCTTGGAGGTCATCTAGTCCAACCCCTCCCCCCATCCCAAGCAGGAGACCTTACCCCCCCATTTTTTTTGACAGAGGGCCAGTCCAGTCTCTTCTTGAAAGCTTCCAGGGATGAAGCTCCCACAGCTTCTGAAAGCAGGGTTTTTCCATTGGTTGATCGTTCTCAGCGTCAGGAAATTTCTCTTTAGTTTTAGGTTACTTCTCCCCTTGATTAATTTCCATCCATTGCTTTAGCTATCTATCTATCTATCTATCTATCTATCTATCTATCTATCTAATCTATCTAATCTATCTATCATCTATCTATCTATCTATCTAATCTATCTATCATCTATCTAATCTATCTATCTATCATCTATCTATCATCTATCTATCTATCTAATCTATCTATCTAATCTATCTATCTATCTATCATCTATCTATCATCTATCTATCTATCTAATCTATCTTTCTATCATCTATCTATCTAATCTATCTATCTATCTATCATCTATTTATCTATCTATCTATCTATCTATCTATCTAATCTATCTATCTATCATCTATCTATCTAATCTATCTATCTATCATCTATCTATCT